ACTGTCAATGACAGTTAATTAACGTAATTGTACTGTCGTTGACAATACATTTATGTAATTGTTCTGCCGTTGACAGTAAATTAACGTAATATTATTATTATTATTATTATTTTTGTTTTTTTTATTTTGTTTGATTTGTTGACAAATCAACGTAATTATATTACTGTCGTTGGCAGTAAAATAATTGTAAACACAATAATATTACTGTCAACAACATCAATATTATTATTTTTTTAGGTTTTTTGTTTTGTTTAAGTTACTCACGGAGTAACGTAATAACATTGATGTCTATTACTTAGCTGAAAACCGGTTCTTTGACTGATTCGTCAGCTACTTAACTCTTATTTTTAACTTTTCCGATTTTAAATGTCAGACCGGACCGTCTCATCACTGGATCACGATCGGACCGATTTCCAGTTTTGACAACATTGTATCTTATTGTGTGTATTATTTTATCACATTTATCGGGTGTACAATCTAAAAATCCGGAGAGAAGTGTCATTTTAACATAAGGGAATTTAATTAAGTGGACCTTAATTAAATTGTCGTTTTTGATTCGTCGTTTTCTCATTGTTTCCGCCTTAACACGCCGTTATCGCTTTAACGGGAGTGCGATGATTAATAATAATTGACTTATCGAAAAATTACAACCATCCCTGAGGTATGGTCAAATTACAAAAAACCCCTCATGCTTGGGTAATTACGATCACCCCTCAACTATAAATCATCTTACACGTTCACCCTTGCAATTTCAAATGTAGTTGAATCTTCGAGATTATACGAAATATTATCACTTTTGTACCCGCTTTATCCCATTCGAACACCACATTTTGAAGCAAGATGATTATAATATGAGTTTTTTGGCTTGTATATATCAAATTGTGGTGCATCAGAAACTGTATGTTTACACAAAATGAGTACAAACTAGATCACATGCATTCCAAGAAATCTAGATGATTATGTTGAATTTGACACCATAAGGGTGGAAGTGTAAGAAAAAATCAAAGTTGAGGAGGACAAATGTAACTATCCAAACGAAAGGTTTTTTTTCTCG